CGCCTGGGGAGAGACGACACACACACACACACACACACACACACACACACACACAGTTATGTTCCTGAAAAATGCAACTTTAAGTGAAACTATGTTAAACTAATCCAATTTTCCCATAAGATTTAATGTAAACGTGGGGGGTTAGGTTCCAAGGACATTTTTTTGGGGCAGACAAAAGACATTATACACACTGTACAGTACTGTACTGTGATGAGGAGGTGTCACTGGGGCTCAGGGCTGGGGGGGTGCAGGGTCTGGGAGGGTGCTCAGGGTGGGGGTGTGGGAGGAGGCTCAGGGCTGGGGGTGTGCAAGTGGCTCTGCAGTGCGGCACCACCCCCAGGGCCACGATTCTGGGAGCTCCCCCACCTCCCGGCAGGCAGGGCCACCCAGAATGCAGGGGCTTTAGGGCCCTGCCCTGCAGCTCTAAAGCCCCTTTCGGAATGTGGCCCTGCGAGCACGGGCTGGAGGACTCAGGAGGAACAGGGGCAGCCATGCAGCCAGCAGCCGGAGAGAAGCGGCTCTTTCCCCTTCAAAGTGCTGCTTCTCTCCGGCTGGCTTTGAAGGGGAAAGTGCTGCTTCTCTCTGGCTGTCGTCCTCCTCCCCCCCCCATCCCCCAGCCAGTGCTCGCACAGCTGCATTCCAAAAGGGGCTTTACAGCTGCAGGCTGTAGCCCCTAAAGGGCCCTGTAGCCCCTGTGTTCTGGGTGGCCCTGCTTGCTGGGGCGGGGGGGGGGGGGAAATGGAGCAGCTTCCCTGCTCACTCATTCCCTCCCAGAAAGTCCTAAGCACTGCCAAACAGCTGTTTGGTCGGGGGGAGGGGGGGAGGAGGAGGAGCACTGGGAGGGAGGTGGAGGTGGAGAAGAGGAACTTGTTTGCTGACTTTACAAGGGAGCATTGCACAACTTTAAACGAGTGGAGCAGCGACGTAACTTCGAAACAACTTTAAGTGAGGAGTTACTGTATACAATGTTGCACTGCTCAAGATGAGCAATGTAGGTTTAATAATTGGTTCACCACTTCAGTGGAAAGTGGATATACACCAACTTTTGCAAAACCTGAGCAGATTTGCCATACACTTCATATAAACTCACTAGTAAAGATAAACAGTAAAACAAGTTTGACTACAAAAGATAGATTTTAAGTGATTGACTTTTTGCTTGAGTTAGTTACCAACAGAAATAAAATATAGAGCACGCAGTCTAAACTCTGAACCCTATTAGAATGGGCAACTAGACTTAGCCGCTTCTCTCACCCCTCTGGATATTGCAGTTCATAGTACATAGATTTCACCCTTGAAATGTGGGCCAGTCCCTTCAGTTAGAGTCTTCAAAAATGTCCTTGTTGCTTACAGTGTAGGTGGGTGAAGGAGAAAGAACAGAGCAGGCCCCTGCTTGACTTGTTTTATACCCTCAGTCTCATGTGCTTGGACCCACTCAAGTCCAGGCATGTCTGGTGGGCATTACTGAGTCTCTAGGCAAGGTTGAGCAATTCCCCTGGTGTGGCCTCATGCAGGTGAGTCGTTGAATTGTAGCTCCCTTGCTGGACAATGGCTGTTGATAGGTTGTTTGACACTCCGCCTGGGCATTGGTTACTTTCCTTGCTGTTGTCTCTGGGAGGCTAATATCTGACTGATTACCCAACGTACAGTATGTTTTAGTGACAACCATAAAACAGTTCTCATAACTTCATATGCGTTAGTGATATACATATATGGGTAGAGAAATGACTTTCAGCAGATCATAACCTTTCCCTGATACATATAAAGCATGCCTTGTAAGGAATATGGGGGTCACATGATGGTCCTCCAAGTTACAGAATGTCTCAGAGCGAAAGTTAGGAGCTCTCTCTTAACCATGTTGAGTTTGAACTAACAGCTATCCATCCACAATGAGAGGTCAGAGACAGGCTAAGATTTTAGTTTGGATAGAAGGAGACTCAGGAAATTAAGTTGTCAGACAACTATATGCCATACAAGATATGCAATGCTACTAATATATTTAATGGCTCCCTCCTTATTTGTAAGGCACTCTGACCCCCCAAAAAAAGTTATACACAAAGTAATTTTTATAAAAAGGTACCATACCTCTGATTCTACCATACCTTCGGGGCTACTTTGTTGTATTTGAACACTTACATCTTGTTACATGCCCCAAGCAAGCAACTTTAAAAATGTATAAATACAGACCCTGCTGCAAGTAGACATACGCATTCTAGACTTTTCTTTATTTTCAAACACTGACATAAGGAGTAACTGACAACTTCCTTTATGAAAGACAGCAGACAGCTTAGAAACTTTGTGTTAAAAAAATTAACAAGTGGTTTGTTTGGTGGGCTGTTTTAAGACTGTGGCAAGCCCTTGATCTTTGATCTATTGTTTACTGGCTTGAGAATTATTTTTAAAAAGTGAAAACAAAGATCCCTTAAGAGGTCAAGGGACTGTCTGAAGACAGACCCTTCCTTCTCATACTCCTGGGGTGAAAGTTGCTAACCACTGGATAATAACTCCTAGAGCATTACAAAAATACTGTAGCTAAATTTTAGTTGAAAGCAGAATAAAAAATAAAACAAATGTCTTTTGTTCTGAGCACTTAAATTTGGCGGACTGTATTTTTACTTCAAAGTGAAGTCATAGAACTGCTATTTTTAGGCAATTCACATATGAGGGGTGTTACCAGGCAATAAATGTAACCTCCTAAATATCAAAGGGGGGGGGAAGCCACTCACCCACTTATAAGCTTTGAACCATCATAACATTTCATGGTTATCTTTAATTTGGAACCACGTTTTACGAAGTTTCATTTCAGAGCAAATACTAAAATACAATACAATCCCACCTTTTTTTGAATTACTTTGTCCATTTTCTTACTTTCAGGCTTCAGTCCAATCTTTTCCGGTAGCCAAGATTTCTCCTTTGACTTGTTTATAATACTTTGAATAACCATTCTTAAAATATTCTTCATGTGCAAAGCAGTAAATAGTGAACATAAAATAAAGAGTATATAAATAGGTGATGTAGCTGAAGTCTAAAATAGTTTCTATGCACCAGCTGCTACAGTGAGAAACTACTTAAATGGATGTCCCTTTGGTCTACTGGCATATGAATACAAGTAGTAATGAGGAGCAGTGATAAGATGTTCTAATGAAACAAGACAGGCCAGGGCTGTGACAGGAACAAGATATGGAGGATCAAGTTTCACCTAATTAGGCAAACTTGCACTAGGTGAGTTCTACTATCCTTAACATTGTGTAATATTCATCTTTGCTTGGAATTATAACAAATGGCAAAGATTAAGTATTTACATTAAATCATTTACAAACAAGGTTCTTTCCATCGTTCTTAGAAATGCACTAATTTTTTTTGTTAAAAGGTGGCTAAGTTACCCTAAACAACATTAAGAATTGCTCTAATGTAAATGTTCAAATATGCTAACAAAGCAGTTCAGAATGAACCACCAGTCTGTTTGACACACACACCCCTTCAAGCCCTGTCCATTTCTTGGCAGAAAGCTGCCTTCTGTTGAATGTAGGGTCAAACAGCTACTGCACAATGACTGGTAAGCTGTGTTTATTGCTGCTTCTGCACCTCAGATGCCAGAGAGTTGATCACCATCACACTCCTCAACAGACCCTCTTCTCTAGCACACAGGATCCACAGCTGCAGGAGACCTATGAACCCAGCTGCAGCTCCCTAAAGGCATCAGAAGAGCTACAGCACATTTTCCAGCCCCTCCATTCCTTTTGTTCTCACACTCAGAGAGCCTAGTTAAAGACAGAAGAGAAGAGGCTATGACCAAGTATCCCCACAAGCAAAAATAGGAGCCACCAGTGGATCATACATATCACAACCCTCTGACATGCTGAGCTACACATCACCAGTAGCTCCTGAAGTGTGGTTGGGGTTTTTTTTTTTTTTTTGGGG